ATCTTGTATCTGTGATTTCACGATTTACGTTTAGAAAATTGGCAGATGAATCGCCAATTTAACTTAAATTGCAAAAATATTCCATCAGACGACATTGTACATTACAGATTCCCGTCTGCCCATCGAAGCAAGCAAGTTTTTTTCTTTCTCTCAAGATACTTATGAACGATAGTGTATATGAAATTTTTATACGATGAATCAGCTTCGTGATTAGAGGAAAGAGATGAATCGCTACGAGAGCGATGCAAAGCCACGATGTTTGAATACAGCGGCACAAAATCGCACGTGTTCGGTAAATTCGATTTACGCCCTAGGATTTACCATTGCCAGTGAAGCATGGACAGAGCGCGTTCAATATTCGACTGCAGAATCCACGGGCACGATGATTCCAACCAGCGATGCTGGCGATACCCTTTGGCTTATTTCCTGTACAAACAAATATTTCTTCTCTCTCTCTCTTTTTTTTTAGAAACTAATTTGAGAAAGTGACAACGAGTAAGAACAAGCTTGAATCGTATAGAGACAAATTTGTCTCTTCTTTCGTTCTCTCTTTGTTCACTTTCACATCAATACGTCGGATATCCGATATCGATATCCGATTCGTACGATTTTATATTTTATCATAAAGCTTACCTTCGCTGGAATCACCTTTCTGAAATACGAAATACGAAATCATCAATGAGTCGAACATTGCGTTATCGACAGCTGAGAGTGTTCGAAGAGAGTATCGCGAGAATGAAACGTATGCAGAATATTTACCTCCGTGAACGTTATTCTCTTCGATGCTTCCGTGATTGCCATTTGTATAACTTCACTTACGAACTTGGTCGTTTCTCTCATCAGCTCTTCGTCGTCTTTGAAAGCCTCTTTCCTCTGCTCCAGCGTTCCACTAGCCAATATCTTTTCTCGTTCCTCCATGGTCCATTTACAACAATCGGCATTACACGTGTTCTCGGTCATAATTTCTACGGTCTTGACTGACGGCTCTCGATCCGATTGGTTTCGATTCGTGGTTCGATGATTTCTCGTATCACGTCATCACGTCATTCGACTTTCCAGATTCGCAAATAATCGCACGTTCAATTTTTCTTAAACCTGCTGCGTCAACGAACAACCCGCTTTTCATAATTCGTATAAAAAAATATACAGAGCACGCGCGTTATAGTATTATATTTAGTATTATCACGCGTATATTTTTATAGTATTATCATAGGAAATATCCGTTTTGTACTTACGTTTGCAGCGAGAGACTCGAGGAAAAGGCGATTGACCTTTCGGACATGGATAATATCGAGCTACAGGTGGTGCGCACTCGTCCTACAAGGGAGACTGAATACCGACTGAATACCCACTGTACGTGTGCATCTACACACGGATGTTAACTGGCAACTGTTCACGATCCTTATCTCTCATTTCTCTTTCAAACTGATTTCGTCCCGAACTCTCCAGAATTTCTAAATCCACTTTCGATCGTGCAACCCGAACGATTTCTAAGAAATCTTTTTTCTTTTCTTTTTCGTACGACGATATCCTTCTTCCGTTCACTTTTTAGCTTCCTCTTTTTCTTTCTTCCTATCCCTTCTTCTCTTCTTCCCTCCCCCCGCCCACTCTCTCTCTCTCTCTCTCTCTCCGCTTCTCCCTTTTTCTTCTCTTCTATTTCTTACTCCTTTTCGCGAGCGTGAAAGCAAGATAGGAATATTTTCGCGCGGCTAATAGAACCAAATAGATTAGAGTAAACGACGCTGTTGCTAGCGAAAGATGTGTATTTTCAAAGAAAGAGAGCGAGCGATAACGATCGATACGCATGTATCCAAATTATACTCGGTACGCCCGACCACTGATTCACTTCGTAACGATCGAACGTTTGCCAAGCTCGCGACTGCTGGCTCAGTTTGCCTCACTGAATATCACCCCGGGGAAACGTTTCCGAGCATGCGTCGACCTCCGCACGATCGTCAAGTACATATACTTGCTTCCTAGTTGTACAATTTATCACCCTCCTCTTTTCACCCTGTATGTCACCCTGTATGTCTTTACACGCTCGAGAATTTCTACCGCGCTGACGATGCTGAACACACGATGCTGATCACTGTCATCGTCTCGGCTGTTTCGTCGCACGGAAATATTTATCAGCGGAAATACGAGACGGAAAAAATTCACGCGACAAATTTTCAAACGAAAGAAAAACAAACTATAAAACGTTGCAACGAAACGTTTCCTTACTTCCATCGTACATACACGGTATGAGATACTCGATGTAAATTACTTGCTATTACTCGAAGACGCGAACATTATTCATTCAGACGCCTGGTCGTCGTTCCTTCCTTAAAGATGCAAACGTAGACGCGATGCGCGCGCCTAAGAGTAAAAACTCTGGATATCTGGCAGAGCGAAGGTAAGCGAAACACAAGCGATACGGGAAAAGATGGAAAAGGGAAAAGGCAAAAGGGAAAAGGGAAAAGGCAAAAGGCAAAAGAGAGCGAGAAAGAAGGAGGGAGAGAAAGATTTCTAAACATAGTAGGAAATCAATACAGTTGATGCATAGTCGACGTACAGTTAAATGTTGTTAAATCTGTGAATTGTCGAAATTACCAACCAACCATTCAGCGTAAATATTGCAAAGAGCGATAATTCGTTCGCTCTAGAAGACTAGAAAGATCGTTATAATATAATTCATTTTACCCATAATTTATTTTACCTCGTTAAAAATTCCTCTCGCACCACGAGTATGTCGCACGTTACGCGATACGAAATTACGTCTTACTCCTTGCTCCGGAAAATATAGAGATCTTTCTAACCGCACGTCAATCTTTTGCTCCTTCTCTTCCTCAAAGGTACACGTGCACGGTACAATTTCCAATTTCGTTGAATAATTTTTGCCGCGTGATTTCGACGAAAATATTCTACATTCGCTAAAAAAATTTTCTCCGCGTTCAACTCGTTTTCCTCCTTTGATCTTTCGTACAAGCTACGTTGGACAAGAAGTCGATCCTGTAAGTAAACACGTACATATCACACGTGTATAAATACGTTACACGCGCACGTTTTCGAAAATGTTCGACTCTCGAGACTTTCGATATGGCGCAACGGATAAATAACAATAACAACGAAAGATGTAAAGGCGAAAATCGAACAAACCTGAAGAACGACATATTCTTCGTCGATACAATTCTTTTTCAACAGAAGACTAATTTTGCACGCGTAAAGCGATTCAATATTCGTATCGTATTCCTCGAGTCGATCCAAATGTCGTTTTCTCATTTCGCGACTGTGCGTGTACCGATGTTGGTTTCATCGTAACATAAATATAACAAACACGAGAGAAGAAACTGTTGGTCACTGGCGAGGAAAATCAGGAATAGGAAACTTTTCCTTTACCGTTCGTTGCACAAAGCGTCCATTCTCAGACGATACATCTCGCCAAGAGACTTTGAGCGATGATCCAACCATTCGATTTCCCTTTCGATGGATCTTCTCCGCGCTTTCCTCTTCAAATTTGAAAGCAGTAACATCGACGAAAATTCCGCTCTGAAACAAGTAGTTGGTATCACGGATATAAATATTATTAGCGATTACGTCACGTTGAATTATATAGCTATGTATAACGTGTAATTGGTAACGTAATGAATAACATGTAATTATTAAGTCATTTTAAGTCGTTGCAAGTTTCTTCTTGACGGAGAAGAAGAAAAACTTGCAACACTCACGTTCGTATCTTTATTTTTTGTTTCAAGCTTTCTTCGACGTTTTTCTTTGCCAATCTCGTTGCTCCCCAATTTGATTCGACATTTCGCCGAAATCGATTCAAATCTGAATCCTCGTTTCCAAGTAAAATCTCCGATTCTGTTGGAAAAAAGAAATATATATATATATACCATACGTGTACATTGTTTGTTGATATAATACCACGTCTATTGATATTTTGCGGAGAGAGAGAGAGAGAGAGAGAGAGAGAGAGAGAGAGAG